GATGCAGTTCGTTTAACTTGATTGTAGATGTTATATATCTGTGTTGCATATATAGGACCTTTCGGTTGAATCATATCATAGAAGTATCTTATTTCATAGTTTTACTTATTTGTCGCCATTTAGCCTATGCATTTTCTTGTTTAAACATGCATTATGCAGGAGCAAAATCTGCTTATTACAAGTCTTTCTTTAGGCCTGAAATGTTATCTAAATTAGACATTAATTAACTTATCCAGACCATAATAAACTCTCGATGTCAAGGCTAGCCTTCGATGTAGGCTGGATTAGATTCCTATATGCCGCTAACGGCCAAAGATAATTAAATCAGAAAAAGTGGATAATCGAGACTATGCTGTTTATATTAATGATTTTAGTAATGATAACCGAGACTATGCAACAATTTCACCGGCTTCTTTCTCGGCTCATAGTGGATCAATTTGACTGAAATTTTCAACAAATTACCTTTACACTCAATTGCTAAATGCCACTAAAGGATTATATTCATCATCAGTATGGGGATGAGGCAGTTGAGTGTGTACGTCAGCTTAGTAAACTAGAAGGGAAATATATTCAAGTGTGTCACATTGTACATATATATAGACCCTCAAGTTTACTAAATGTCATTGTGCTTGATAACGATAAGAGAATACTTATCGAAACGTTGTGCTTGTGGATAATAAACCAGTGATTGTTGTCCCATATAACTGTGTCAGTTTTGTTACCTTTACACTATCTAGTTTTTAACTATTATAGCGAGAACTGCCATCTCTTTATCTTATCTCCCATAATGTATCTTTAACTTGACTAAACAAAACATTTTGTAGGAATGTAGGCTTTTATAGATTGAACAACAAGCTGATAAATGTTGAGATGTGTGGAACATGCTCGAGGCGATTTGTAACAAACCCTTAGACACGATATATATTTGATACTAGTTGAGCATCAGAACATGATTATTTCATTGGAAATGGGGCGCAAATACCCAAAAGAGTCGGACAAACTCTAAACTAACTGCGTCTCCTTCGCTGGGCCCTTTCAATGTCTGTCTACCTGTGGAATAACATGTACATTATTTGTTTATGTTAAATTTGTGCGGTTTATATTATATTAATATTATTATTTATACATGGGCGGGGAGTGATAACGTCTTACCCCAAACAAATTGCAAAAGAAACCAGAATGTTTCGGAGAGCGATATCTCGTATCACATGTCACTGATAAAACAAACATTTGCCCGAAACACATGTCACTCTAGACACCTTTTATTTAAATTACACTGATTTTACACTGATTTTAAGTTACACTGATTTTAAATATTTTATCCATTAGTCAATTTAAGGAAATGTCTATTTTCGAAAAATTGATGATACAATTAATGGCCGATGACCGGAAACTGACACACAATCCGGAATGGCTCAAGACCAAAAAATCATGGAATTTCAGGCATTTATTTTGCCGGCTAGAAGGAAAAAAGGTCTTATCTCCCAAATTACTATTTAAATTTTAATTTTTCACTTTACCCGTCTGCACAATAATCTGATTTTTAAAAGCGTATGCAAGTTAAATATGATTTAATAGCGCTTTTATTTGGTGTATCTTTTATTTCACTTTCTTATGAATTAGATTATTCTTATAACAATAATGTGCGCTTTTTTTTGTATAATAATAATAATAGTTTGTTCAGCTATACATTTCGTTTAATAAATGTAGGTTTTATCTCTTTTTCGCGGAATTCTATGACATATCTATCTACATCCCTGTCGGGGGCAGCCAACTTCGACAGTACGATAGGACATAAAATAGATAGTGAGTAGGTACAAATACTTGGGAGCAAAGATGGCGTCTTTGTACACTTGTCATATGAAATTTCTGGCTTCACGATTGTCGCTAGACTGGACAACCTGCTCTAAATGACGTCAGGCTGGTTCCTACGTCACTGCGCTAGTCTGACTTCAATATACATGTAGAGACAGGTAGCTGACAGCCATCTTGCCAGGAGGAATTCCTCCCGGCAGTGCGCATCACTTTCTGCGCACATTACCAATGTAAACAAAAACATGACGCTGAAGTGTGCAATAAAGATGTCAACACCAATTAAATGCAGCGGTAGTTTAGGTTTAGCTTGTGGATTAGAGCCGAAACTATGTAATTTTTTCTCAATAATGGAATTTAACGGAACAATAATTAATATTTTGGAATTTGAGAAATACGGCAATAAATCAAATGAAATATGACTATGATAAGCGATTTGCCATGGCAGCCATGTTTTGACGTAGTGTTACTAGAAATAGACGGGTATCCCTAATGATGGCGTTCAGCGTTAAAGTGAGTAAGCTTGAAGATTTGTTAATCTTTTCTTTAATGTCTAAGATTGCTCTAGACAAATTAAACGTTGATCGTGCAACATCTTATTGTTATCTTAAACCCAAACAAAGCGACAGTTTAAAATCAGCTCTTATAATCAGATACAATCGTAGGCCTACCGGCTATGGCAAATCGCTCATATTTCATTTGATTTAGGCCTATTGCCGTATTTCTCAAATTCCAAAATATTAATTATTGTTCCGTTAAATTCCATTTCCTTTCAGTACCATTCAGTCCAATGATACATGGTCCCAAACCACTTACACAACATCGTCTCTACACTTTAAAACAACAGAGGATTGGTCGTGGTTACCATGGCAACCGTATTTAAAATAGTATCTAGGTATACGCGTATAGTATGGATAGTCTCAAGGTACTACAAATGTTTTTTACAATCGAGAAGCATAAAAAAACGTGATCACCAAAACAATATGTCTTATTTCCAGGCTAAAAACGTTGAAATTGATGGTTGCTAAGGCAACAGCTGTAACGGTCACTTTGGCTGAATTTAAAAAATGGCACCGACCGATTCCGAAAAGTTTGGGTCATAACGAACATTTTGGTATACGGTGCCAAGCGGTTACCAATAAAGAATTCAATATATATACAGACTATATTAGACGTTTTCATCATATCGATAACTGTCATTTTTGCCATTGTGGTAGTGTGTATTAGTGTATATTTATTATATATTTGGTATTTGTCGCATTGTCCCTTTAATATATATGTTGGATTGTTCCTTTAAGGTTTCATTTTCAGAAAGGTCACCAAAAATGGCAACAAAATGCTCCATTTCACAGCATGTTTCCACTATTCATTTAGGGAATCATCCAGTGATATCCGGCGTTTGATCGTAGTACAGCACCGTCAGCTACGCCTCCAGGACCCGATATATATTCTAATTAAGAGATACCCTAGTCAATCGGTGTATCTTGATTAGTGAGTCAGCGCCTTACTCACATTTTGATAGTTGGTTACCAATTGGGGCATGACAGCATTGCTATCGATATAACGCGTTGTTTTCGTTCTCTAGTGTATAACTGAATATTAAATTGTGTATAAAATTAGTCTAAATAACTGGTTTGTTCAGAAGTTTTAGAAAATTTCAATACGAAGAACCAAAAGCATCAGACTTTCATCTGCAAAGTATAGCAATTTAACTGTCGATCGAATTCGGTTGGTGGTGCGAATCTCACTTTTAGGTTAATTTTTGTTTGGATTATTTTATTTAAGATAATGTCTATTTGAGAGATTTTGATATTTTTTGTTAAGATCATTTCGTTAAGCAAACCGATAATCCAATGGAAGTTCGTGGATGACTGCGGAAACCAAATCCCGTTAGTGCCAGGCTTTATAAAATTTTTTGATGTAACATATACTAATGTATATTAGAACATGTAATAAAAACGTTGATATTCTTTTGTGATCTGCTACCGTTCATTATGTCCAAAAAAGCTGAATTTCAGGTTAATTTTAATAGGTTATTGTTTCAAGTCGATTCTATTCATTTTTATTTTTGGTATGAAAGGATCTGAGGCTACTTGTTCATGTGAGCATAAATTTTCTAAATCCACTACATGAAAGAAGTAGCTAAAGGGGGTCAAACTTTGGATAACGAAAAATGAGGAATTTAGATATGCAGTCTGTATGCCGATCTCGTTGTCCCGAATAGCCTGAAATTAAGTTTGTAGTACCATCACTATGTCATTTACAAATTGTGTGAGTTTGGTCTTTTTACTACGTTTAGTAAAGGTGCCAGGGTTTGCCAAAATTGATGTTTGAGCAATGTTGTTTTTGGGGTTTTTCTTTTCAATTTTCTCAGTCAGGAATTGAAATATTTATCTGATATTGCACATTTATGTGTTCTGGGACTATCCCAACATAAAAACCAAATTTGGTTAAAATTCGTGACTGAAGCCTTAGCACCTTCTGTCTGGTGCTCTCGTGGAAACACTCTTAATCTCTATAACCACTAAGAGCCAAAAATGTCACAATCATCTGATAAAAATATTGAAGGGGGCTGATCTTTTCATTTTTTGGCTTGGTCTGGTAATTATATATATATAGGCAGTGGCGTCAATTTAGTAGGCGATTTGTCTAATTCATGCCTGTTTACCCCCTCGCGACTCAAAATCATGATTAGTCACCTAAACCTGGCTGAGAGAGAATTGCTATAATTAGAAGAACTATATCCATGGATACTGGTCCTAAATGTTTTAGACCCAGCAAACTCGATTGCCTCCCTTTAACATCGAGCTTAGTTTCATTTCGACACCTTTTACAAATTGAATGCAATGGAGTTTAACGTCTCATCAAAACAATTGTTCGATCATTTGGAGACAAACGTGACGTAAATTATATGGTTACGCGTGTAATGCGATGTAGAAGAACTTTGTCTGTACCGAGGTGTTTCTGTATACACATAGTATAGTGTTGAAATTCCAGGCTCTTTCACCGGCCGTTACGTCTTGGCCTTTTTGATAAAATAATGCTACCTCACACAAAGTAACGCCATGTTCTTATATCATTCACTTGGGGTGTTTTTCAATCCGTATGACGTTAGATCATGTAATTATTTATGTCAAGATTTAATTTGAATTTGCACATTGAGTTTTAATAGATTTACTTCAAACACATTAAATTGTTGTACCATTTTAATATATATAGAACCATGAATGAAAAATTACGGTTAATATACAAAGTTATTAGAAATAATATTAATAAGATGAGTAGAAACAAGACCATGCTGATCTTAATATTAGCGTAAACGTAACTGAAAAAAATACAACCACAATTTTTCTCACAGAGATCTATGCACTCTGACCTATCATTGTATAGGAATTACAACATTTTGAAAGAAAAACAATTATATTCCATTTTATAACATTTTTTTCGTAAAATAGTAAGACTATATAAAGACCAATTTGTTTGCCTTGTCATAAACACGTTAAATAACAAATCAGTCATATGGTACAAAAATACAACAAAAAACAAAAAAAGGGTGTTGTGGGGACTTTTAACCGCGATAAAAATTTGGGCTAACACAGCCTATTCCACACGGTGTTGCACAGCATTTCTTAGAATCCGGACAATTATCATCAGTCTCGCAGTCGTTTTGGTAGATTAAACAATATATTGGTGTGGGTGTGGGTTTAGGTGGACATTGACCTGGAAACATAATTATATTTTCAAAAATTTATTTAGATAAGAACTAATTACGTCATCATATGCAATAATATAATTCATGTGGCATTCCTTTCAGAGGGTCACCCCATTATATACTGTGACAGAAATCAAAGAGATCCTCATTTCGTGAAACAAATTAAGATTATAATTAACTATAGAAATGGGATTAACGTCCTACTTTTCTGCACCAACCAGACTACTGAATGATCTTTTAGAGGCATTTAGTAACTGGATAGAGCAATAAACTATAACACATACTTATGGAAGAACAATTGTTCTTCCATAAGTATGTGTTATAGACTACTGAATATTTCATACAGTGTTTTATGAAAACAAAATGCCTGGACAGTGGGGTGTGGCCTACTATTATTTCTAATTCTAACTTTCGATAGTTCTTTAACGTGCACGCCAATGTATATACGCAATGATACCTCTTGTCAGGCCCTCGGTTTGGCACTACTGACTAGGGAAACCACGCTGGAAAATATATATATATATATATATATATATATATATATATATATATATATATGAAAGATTGGATAGAGTTCTCGGGGCTATATTATATACCGGACACACCGAAAAACACCGGAAAACAACCGGAAAACACAGAGCATGTACAAGAACATCGATAATAACACAGGTATTGAAGCAGTTAGGAAAGCATTTCTTAGGAAACTGCAAGCATCTAGGCCGGACGAAGACGAAGAAATCCTCAAACTACTCGACATTTGTCTGAGTAGGAATGACTTTGCTTTCAACGACCAATTATACCTCCAGTCTTCCGGAACTGCGATGGGAAAACGATTTGCCCGGGTTATGCAAATCTCTTCATGGCGGAGTGGGAAAGGGAAGTTCTGCCGCGCTGCCCATTAAAACCAGATTTCTATGGACGTTTTCTAGACATGACGTTTTCATAGTCTGTACGTACACGCTAGACGAATTTTGGACGTTTTTCAACATTCTGAACAATCATCATCCATCTGTCAAATTAACCGCAAATGTAAGTCATAACAGCATAGATTTCCTTGACACCACCGTCTTTAAAAGTAGCAACCCCAAAAACACAGGCCAAATGGAAACTAAAGTATTTTTCAAAGAAACCGAAAAACATCAATTATTGTTTAAGAGCTCCTTTCACCCCAAACATACCTTCTCTGGCATCATAAAATCTCAGATTCTCCGTTTTCATAGGATATGCACTCAGAAGACCGACTTTGAATCAGTATGTATGCTGGTATTTAGCAAACTAAGAGAAAGGGGATACTCTAAACGTATAAAAAACAACACTCTAGCTGAACATGCAAAATCATAAACATATCCGACCATTTCTATAACAAAACATCTGGCACACAATTAGACCAACTTTCATGCTGTAGTTCAAACATAATTTATCTAATTTCATGTAGACAACGTGACAAACAATACGTAGGGGAGACTCAAAATGCACTTAGGGAAAGAATCAACGGTCACCGGTCACACATAGTCACCAAAAAAGACAAACCGGTCTCAATTCTGATCTCATTGTCACGCCAATAGAAAAGAACAAGAGCGACTTTGAAACTACAGAAGAAATTAAAACGTTTAGGCTAACAAGAGAAACATTCTGGATTGACAAATTGAAAACAACAGCCCCCTAGGTTTGAATATTCATACGGCTAGCGCAATAGCCCCTTTTGTAGTTCTATTTAGCGCAACAGTAGCAAGTGCATCCAAAATCATCAGAAATCACTATACTGATCTCCCAGAAAATCACCCGAAAATCTTCACACAGAAACTTATAATTGCATATTCTATAAATAAAAATCTGAACGACATCCTAGGGCCCAGTAACTTAAATTAAATAAGACCATGCAGTCTCCACCCTAACCCAAAACAAACCATATATCAAATCCTATCCCTAACCGTTAGTAAATAAAATCAACTAGATATTAGAATCCCTAGCCCTAACCCGGTGATGTGGAACAAACACATTTTTAGAAAATCCAATTCGTAGTAGGAAACACACTAATGTGGTGCTCCCCCTAGAGCCTCAAATTTATTCTTTTTTCATCAGAAACAAAAATACCAGAATACCAGAAGCACCATCCAAGGAAGGCCATCAGCGCCACCAAAACCAAAAATCAGTGAAATCACCTTTGTATATAATCTAATGTATTGAATGTATTTTTAATAAAACTAGGAAATATCATGAACTAATTTTTCATCATCCTAGGTCAGTGCTTATGTGGAGACTAACCTCTCCCTCAAATTCTTAAACCTAACCCTACACCCCCACCCCCGCACACAGAGAACCAGGCTCCGGGTTACCTATTTAGGGTGTTTTCCGGTATTTAGTGTGTTTTCCGATATTTAGTGTTTTCCCAATGTTTCCCGGTATTCAGTATAACATGGTGTTTTCCGATAGGTTTTCGGTGTTTTCCGGTATATAGTATTGCCGGAGTTCTCACTATAAATGTTAAAAAAATAAAAAATGTAAAAGGGATATGTTGAAAATTTCAGTAAAATTACTTTAATCTAGTCTGAGTTAAGCCCTAGACTGCTATTGTTACAGTTCTTATTTTAATAACAAAGTCTCGGTTATACACTTTTTCGGTCAATCATCAACGACTGTTGAACCTCAGATTGAATTCAAATCTGTGACAAATCGGACAAATCAGATGGCATCGAGAGTTGATTATGGTCTTGTCATTTTAATTAATGCCGATTTAAAAGTTTATATAACATTTAAGGCTTAAAGAAAGATCTGCAATATGCAGATTAAGCCCTTGCATAATGTCTGTTTAATATAACTTGTTGAAGCATTAAGATACACTGTTGATAATGATCTTTATATAAGCAATGTACTTCAAAAAGGTGGAGGAAAACTAAAACAACAACATTAATCGAAAGTGTTATTCGAATTTGTCACTGCGCTCCTTCATACAATGGATGCTTTCTTGTAATAAGTTCACATCTAACTGCTTTTACTTTCTTTTAAAACAAAAGTTCACGGAAAAGTTTCCCGATTAAATAAGATAACTCTGAAGTCAAGTGCACATAATACACCCGATTCTAAATACAATTTTATTTATTCAACGATAATGAAAGTAATTCAATATTTACATGCAGCAAAGAACCAGAGTTCCAGAGGAGATTCAAAAGAAACAAGCGGACAAAAAAAAAAGCGAGAAGAAAGTTTTTGTGCAGTATAGAGACAATAAAGAACTATGAACCCAAAGGAGGATAAGAGATGCGGGGTGAGGATAGAATTATTAAAGGTCTCATATTAAAGTGATTGTGCAACAAATAACCTAAACTGGAGATAACAGTATCACGTCTAATGCTAGGTTTCCACTATCACGATTCGTGCTATGATTGACGCGTATAACGTATGAGTAGCTGAGCTGAGCTTAGTTCTATTAACAGCATGATCACCATCAGTACTAGTCAAGTGTCTAGCCTACAAATTACTGGAGGGAGTGTTGTCGCCCGACAGTCGCTGAGCTATTAAAAAAAAAACTTAATGTCGAATCCCTTTAAAAAATCTTCGACTTCGACTCGACAGCAATTTTTGGTTTCACTAATGTGTCATTCCAGAGAGTTTATAACCTTTTACCATAGAATTACATCATTTACAGATTTGCAATGTGCACTCCTAAATTTAGTACGTAGATCAATCAGCATGCAGACAGACAGACAGGAAAAGTGTCAAAATCCGAGAAAAACTAATCAAAAATAATGATTAAATTCCAGTCTTTATAATGGTTAAAATCACACCAAATACACCTACGTGTTCTAGGATACACATAGATTCATAAAAACGCTATGGCACAACATTTCAGCGCCTAAAAGTAGCAAAAAAAGCGGTAAAAAGACGACGATGTTGTAGGACCTTTTCGGTATGAAAGCTGTGACATGTATGAGAAATACACACACATTGATGGCGTCACACACAAAATCAATACTGATACGCGATACGGACCAGGAATTTACGCTCGCCAAAAGTCTCTATTAGGGACAACCCTTTCGTAGCGCAAGATAGTGGGAACCCAGCATTACTAGACTGTGATACGGGAAATGTAAATTGGATGAATAGATGTCCATAACTAAGGTGTTAGTAAGTGCTCACAACAAGTGAACCACGTACCTCGCTTTGTTCTTCGAAGTGGTCGCCTACATCGTTTACCGCAGGGGAATTGGCAACATTTTCTGCTGCCTCCACATTGACTATCGTTCTTGCAACGATCTCTTCTTGATCGGCATCTGAACTTGGAGCGAATAGTTCTGCAGACACCTAAGAATTTCAAGAACTGCACTGAACAAAAGATGAAGCAAAACAATAGCTACAAAGATGATCGATAATGCAAAGCTATTGCAGTTTACCTTAATCTTATTCATATAGAAATGTGTTGTTTACCTGGTTTTGGAGTCACTACTGGTGGATCTGCTGTTGCTGTAACACAGCGGTTAAAGAAAAGTTACACGAATAACGGAAAATCCACTATGGTATGATATGGGTGAAATGAAATGAAATGGGGTTTAACGTCCTACTTTTTTGACCCCCCCCCCCATGGATGGCTACTGAAAATTGACTATGATAATGGAAACTATTCACGGTTAAACGAAAAGAGTATGTCATTAATTCTTTACCGTATTTATATTATTAATATACTTCGTCATTTATTAATAATATATATTAACCTAGATCCCCAACGCACACAGAAGCTTTAAACCCAGAGAGTGTCGCGATAACTCCACAATAATGAAAATATTATGGATAACCCAGCCTAAAACAAGCGCATAGCCTTCTGTGCCTTAATATATCAAATTCAATTGGGCGGATAAAAATATATTTAATGTGAGTTGTTAAGTTACACATAATAATGGAGGTCATAAATTTATCGAACGTTAAAAACGGATTCCCGTCTACACCATAGGACTATTTATTCCGTTATAAATATCTCCCTGAATTAGGTGATACCGCCCATATCACAAGACACAGCCAAAATATTGCAGCAAGAGAATCAGATTACCCATTAAATCAACATATTGAGTTTTGAATGTCTACAGATATAAATTCAGTAAATGTTTTATCTGGCATTAGCATCGTTTTCTACACCATAGTCACATGGTCCAGGGAATGGATATGGAAGACAATCGACTAAAACAATAAATAAATTTACTTATATAATATCCCAGACATAATATGAGAGTCTAAAACTTACAAATATATAAACATTGAATTTTATTATAGATTAGTCCATATTGCAGGGTAAATTTTTGACCACTAGTGAGCTAGAGACTATCCATGCCTTGGAATATCAACGCTCTACCGAGGAAAGAAGTTACATAATATGATCTTTGGTAGTATATGTTACTACCCCAATAATGTCCGAGACTTTGAAATCAAAAATGAAATAGTCATTTCCATAACATTGTTTTGAGCCGACGGATTCTTAGAAATGAAAACGCGATTGCCTCTATTCTTTTTATGACCTCTATGGTTACAGGATGGAAGCGCTAGTCATAGAGTTGGCGTATTGATCTTGGAGATATTAAGGGCCCGCCACTTTAAATCCATCAAAAATGCCTTGCCATATAGTGGTAAGCTAAAATTCAGCGTAAAGCTCTGAAACTATCAGATTTGAGTCAAAATAATATACCGAGATGTATCGCAGAATTGAATGATCTGATGTCTTATTTAAATTAATTTTTCCACTTATCATAATACTAAATTTAGTTTGGACTGTCTGTGTCGACAGTGGAACACATACATACTCTGCTATATCTCAATTCCCAAACAAAATCAACCTATAAATTGCAATGCATTGAACTCGACATTTTTTTTCTTTTTACCCATATCAATCACATCAAGATGATTGTTTATTCAGATTAGGTAACTTAGCAAAACATATTTTCTGAAAATTCTAAAATACTTTTAATTTTAACGTTACCCAATTATATAAATAGAAATGTGTTGTTAACCTGGTTTTGTAGGCTCTGGTGGATCTGCTGTTTCTGCTGCAACACAACGGTTACCACAACCTTGTCGACAGCATTTCTGTGTAAATGGACAGTCTCTATCATTTTTACATCTATCAATTGGTAAACATTTGACTAAAAATGCTGATGCGGGTAATTTAGGGCAGTTACCTGTTGAAGAAAATGTACATAAATAACGGCAACTCACTAGGATAATGAATGACATGAAATAAAATGGGGTTTAATATTCTACTTTTCTGCTTCATAATGAAGATGAGCTGTTCTCTGTGTAAACGAAAACAATATACCATCATTCCTTTCCCGAATTTGTTTCGTAAAGTTTCCACGTGATTGTGCAGACAAATCTATTCCGACAGCCTTTGTTAATGTTGTGAGAAATTTGAGTAACATTTTACGAACACAGAATACTATTGCTTTCAGACTTATAAATATAATAGAAATTAAATGATTTACTAATATTTTTATACTTTTGCAGGTTAACTTGTATATTTGTTTCATGGATCATTCTTGTCCTCTTACTTCATAATTGAAAATGACAACTTTGAATATAAGCCACTTTAAAGACATAAATCGTTAACATAAAATTTGACAAAGTGAAACGTTTTACACAAAAGTCTATCAATCATAGTAAAATTTTATGTGGAATTTTTTTTACCTCAAAATCATTGTCAGATAACGCTTTGGCAAGTTTTTAGTTCAGTTTGCACACGACAGCTACGGATGAACTGCGTTCTCAAATTATCTACGTCACATAAACTTTAACCGTGTAAAGTTGACTTTGAGTGAAGGTTAATTGGTCTTAAATATGGAGCCGAATCGTTGCCATATTAAGAGAAAATATAATAGTTAAAATTGACAAACTGTCATAGTCAAAATGGTTAAAAATGGCCATTTTCGAGATTTTTTTACTTGTAAATAAATGTCACATAACACAAAATGATATTATTAGTATCAAAACAAACCAAAAAATCTAGTTATGATTTTTCACTTTCTACTTTTCGCCTTTGCAAATTCACTGTAACTTTTTCATCTTTGCATGTTCAACCATGAGAATTTGGCGTCATAAGACGTCAGTATTTATCGTCTCGGCTAAAATTACTGCTCCATTGAGTTATTCATAACTCTTAAGAATTGTCCGATTTTATTTATTATTTTTTGGAGAAAAAAATGGAATAAAGTGGTTGTCATGTTAAACAACTTTTTGTTTAATGAGTTATATCATCGACCCTTGAGGTTGGTACATTGTCTTAATAGATCGGACGAATCTTTGACAGCACATCAGCATGGATGTGAGCGAATTGCTAGCGTTATATCTGAAAGAGGGGCCTGGCTGCCTTAGTCAATTAAGAAAAGCTCTACAGTTATTAGACAATGTAATAAATTGCAAACAAGACAGTTAGGACATAGTAGAGAGTATCATGTTTCGCCAGGAAGAGTTTATCCTCCAAATTTATTTATTCCATAAGAACAGTTACAATAGTTAATTGATAAAGATATGTAATTTGTAGAAAATAAAAAAAATAAAAAATAAAATATCCCTGAAAAGAGGTATGAATTATAGTAATCACTGGGTCGGTCTGTGTCCCAGAATATTTTAATTTACCTGCAACACATGCAGCAGACAGCAGAGCCTACCTGTCAAGTGTCAATATTAAAATCTAATGAATAATGTATACTGATGTCCAAAAGAAAGTATACACTGTGCATTTTGTCCTGCTTCAAACAAAGTCGTTTTTCCATTGTATGCGGTATTTGGGTACAATGTCCATTTGTTTTGCCATTTATTTGCTTAGAAATATTGAGTGTGGACGCACGAGACATGTTCAATGTAGTTTTTTTTTTAAACAAAACTTAGTCATATTTTTAGTGTGTATACTTTCTTTAAGACATTAGTATAGTTTTCATCAAACATGAAAGTAAAGACATAGATTATTTGTTCTTTCCACATTGACTGGGGTTAAATAATGTGAAACTAGAAACAAAAGTTATATTAATTAAAATACAAGTCGGGCCTAATTAGGCCTATATATGTGACAAGACTCAAGAGTTAAAAAAAATATATTATTGACGGTCGGATGGTATCATGTTAGTAATAGTTATTGAATTTTAATCATTAGCATTTTATACTTTTGCAAAACGGAATTTTTTAAAACAAGTATCCGGTTACCAATATATAGGCGTAATAAGTTTTACGTCGTCTTCAATAAATATAGGCCTACAGATGTGATGTCATCTTTTGATGTTGGCGTACTAGTATTTCAAATAAAGTACACCTCTATGGTACCTACACTTAATCAATTACCTACAAATAACATACGTTAAATATTGTTTTATATAATTAATTAATCAGCAGGTGTTTTTATAAGTCAAAATCCGGTAGGCCTACAGCGCATCCATTCACTTGATTTGATATGTTTGTTGCTTATTGTTTGAAATATATGTGTAGCCTATATTGTGTGTCGTGTCCACGGGTTTGTATTGTGTAATTGTTTATGTCTGATGCGGTCCCCCTGCTCTTATTATTCACTTAGCTAACCGAAGTACTACGAATGCATTAGCTGCTTATATCAACGTAGATTTATGACACAGGGTACAATTTATGACGTCGTGTGCTCATAGTCCTTATCAGGGAGTATTAATTTTAGTCCAGACAAGGTGAGTTAGATTGGAGACATTTTGATAGTCGAAAATGCAATGGAGAAAATCTGATAGTTGAAAATGTAAAAATGAAAAAATTACAGTGAATTCGCCAAGGCGAACAGTAGAGGGTGAAAAACATAACTAGATTTTTACACTGTTAATTCTTGTCGAGCAATTTTTGTTTTGTTTCTAATGGGGATTTTCATGATGTTACATATCCATTAAAATGTATTAAGTGTTATGTGATATTTACAAGTGAAAAATCTCGAAAATGGTAATTTTTACCATTTTAACTATGATAATTTTGCAATTTTAACTATGATATTTTCTCTCTAATATGGCAACGATTCGGCTCCATACTTAAATGGTAATCGAACGGTATTCATCGAAATACTCGAAATAAGATGTACTTTCTCCATCTGCACGCCCAGTGTTAATACTGTTATTAACATTGTTATTGGTAAAGTATTTTCTACGTATAATTTCTTAAGCGAAATCCTATACAGAATTGCAGTCTCAATTGCCGAATGAGTATTTTGAATTTCACAGAATTTCGATTTATAGATATGAATATATTTAGTTTCTGACCTGGTTTTGGTTTATCAAGATCGCAATATTTTCCACACGGATGGGGGCAGCATTTTTTGTCATCATCACAATCACTATCACCACTACACTTATTAGTAATTGGGAAAGCACAGAGAACCAGCGCTGGGTTTGGAGGAGGAGGACAAGTTCCTGTTCATAAAAAAAATATATTGAGACATCTATATAACCATATAAATACAATCATTACACTATGATTAACATGTAGCAGTATTTATGTTGGTCTTTTTTAAAAAAAATAGTATCATCGAATAAAGGTGGAACCTCGGGACGTAAGAAAGCTAGTAATTGGTATCAAGGGATAAAAAAAAGAGAGCAAACCTAGGTCAAAGAACAATAGAACTATTATTTTGACAAAAGCACCTTAATGGTTAAATAATATTAACAATACTATATACCTGGCCTGATGACAGCTGGTCCTGGGTCTGCACAGTATTTTGAACAAGGTCCTTTACAACATTTTTTTGATCCGGAGCAATGGTTATCCTGGGAACATTCATCCCTACTACCAGCAGCACACCTTACTGCTAACCCCAATGGTTGAGTGGGGCAAGTTCCTGATAATTATAATTAAAATACACAGAGAAGTGTTAAATGATAGTATTGTAGTATTGACAGAATGAATTATCAGTTTACTACGAAAAGTACTCATCACGGCTAGAAAATTATCAGGCAACCAATTGTTACATAATGCTAGCAGACATATTTTAGCGGATACTATGGATCATGTTATCGGTTCATGTACATGTATATCAGAATGTACTTGGGGTAAAGCTGCAATGCCACACATGTGTCTAGCAGTAAAAGATAGGGGGTAGCATCTGCACACACATACATATCAAAGCATGTCACACGTGTTCTAGTTCTATTAAGAATGGGTCATGGTAGAGTCGGTATCTGATGCCTGTATGCGCATTCCTGAAAAGGACAACAAACGACCAGTGGGACCCGACATTTTCGAAGGGAAAGCGTGGTCACGACGTTCAACAAATAAGAGTCACATATTAGGTAGGGCGATGTGGATATGGCGATCTTCAACCCACTATGGGGGCCTTTTTGGACACTAACCGTACCTCTGATATGGTATTAAAAGACCCTTTCAGGAACATTCGTTACCAATTCTATTGCATTTAGAAAGCTTCGTTCTAATTTTGTATTAATAATTATTGTTTTACCTGCTTTAGGTTTAACTGTATCTTCGCAGGATTTTGAACAAGGGCCCGTACAGCATTTCTGGACTCCTGGACAATCACCATCTTGTGAACACGTATCAGGAGTCAGAGCACATCTTACAACAACTCCCGGGGGTAATACTCGACAGACACCTGTTGAATTGTGCAAAAAGTGTTAGATTTTATTCCAAGATTTTATTCTCTATTTTCAGTACAGTTTGACCTTTGGGTCCGTATCACGAAACGTGTATTTTTGTGAACAGGTCCCTGTCCTTAAATTGGTTTCCTATTAGTTCAGTTTTAAGAGTCTTGTAAATTACAAATACTTCATTCACGTATCAATCTTGGTGTAACCCCTAAAGATATTTGTGTACAAAGATTACCCCGCATTGTGCTTCAGTATTTGAACGCCTTTTTCGATTGGCCGAACAGATGAAAACGTTTTTGATTTTTGTGTCATAAGTGTGTTGCGATAAGTGTCACCTTTATGTCAAAATGTTTTCCGACAATGATAACGATCGGCGAAATAGGCAATATCAGGAGCGTAGGTAGCTAAGAAGGTGGGGGTGGGGGAGGAGAGATACTCCACCGCGCTCGATTCCAGCATGTCATGAATCTGCCACTCCGCTGTGGTCATATAGTAAATCACACAAAACAGGCAGAATTGACAGGCAGCGCTCTTGATCCTGCCCCATTTCTGATTTGCTCAATCACAGGAATTTGCTCCAGGCAATAACCCCAAATGCCAGGAAATTGACTTCATCGGCAATACAATCTCGCAATTATTTTATGTATACATATTGTTTCTATAAGTTTTAATCTATATGAACAGTTACCTGGACGAATTATTATAGCAGTTGCAGCTGGTGCTAAACACCTATTTCCACAGGACGTCTTACAACATTTCTGGGTTCCTGAACAATCGCCATCTTTATAGCAGTTATCACCCAGTTGATCACATGCCGGCTTAGTATTAGAGGCTGGGCAGGTTCCTGTTATTCAAAATAGATGTTACGCGAGTGTGGTACGATTTTAAGGTGACTTTGATGTGATTATACAACAATATGCATACATGTGAGTGTGAGTGTCCCCAGAATTATCATATTTACTTTAAAATAATGCAGATATTAAGCTAAAAAGGGGTAATCCAAGATAAACGTTAGTGAATAAAAGTATTCAATTAAGGGGAAAAGACCCTTGCAATACAATGTCCTAGTACATTGCAAATATTAGAAGGTAGGTGATATTTTCGAAGAAATACAAACTTTAATTTTCTGTGAGGGGTTGGCCTATACTACGCTGTTAATACTGTTAAGCAAATGTTGCGATCATTTTCAAACGGATCAATATTTTGATTACACGTTTAAGACACGCTAAATGGTCTATGTCGTTACGGAGATAAACCCACTAATATTTCAATGTCCTGTGAAATCTGGAACTTTCCATTCAAATATTCGCTCATCCGCTGCAATCTTTTATATATCTGAATTCAAATAAGCAATGATACATACCTGATTTGGTTTTAACTATATCTTTACAACGTTTTCCACAAGCAGATTTACAACATTTCTGCGTACCGGGACATACACTATCTCCTAAGCATTGATCATTCAATGCACATTTTATTAGAAACCCCGATGCTGGAACTGGGCAACTACCTACAGTATATATGTATTGTCATTTGATTAAGGAAATAAATATTTAACTTTAGTTTTATAAAATAAATTAAATATACAAAAAACTCAATTGCCTATAATTATGAGCAACGTAAAAACAACTTTGTTGATCATTTTGCAATCTTTTCCACGCTATTTTGTTTTTTATTTTGCTCAAATGTGTAAAACCAGTATCTCACTGATTTTCCGCATAAAACTTTTAGTATTGAATTTGGTACTGACAGAATTTGCATTAAAATTAATGTATCTAATTTCTATTTTTAATTTTGGATTTTGTAGAATAATTTTGGATTTTGTAGAATAATTTTGGATTTTGTAAATTAATTTTTAATTTTGTAAATTAATTTTTAATTTTGTAAATTAATTTTTAATTTTGTAAATTAATTTTTAATTTTGTAAATTAATTTCTAATTTTGTAAATTAATTTCTAATTTTGTAAATTAATTTCTAATTTTGTAAAATAATTTATAATTTTGTTTTTCTCGAGGACCATTCGGCAAACCTCGACTGATTCCTTGATCATCATCGTGTCATATTGCTCGCCTGTACGGCGTAGCTTGATGTGCCTCTCCGCTATACGCCTGAGATTGTGGTACGGTCATAGGTTTACTGATTATAAACAGGTGTCGCTTAACAAAAACAGTTCTTAAAAAGGCATGTTAGTCGCAATTTTCTTTAAAGGCAGTGCGTTTGGAAGGTGTGCAGCCGAGGTCAAATAAAAGTATAAAAATAGACGAGGTAGGCCGAATACATGTATATACAAGCGTCTGTTATCAACGAAATGGGAACACTGAATAAAATAAAATGAAATGAAATGGGATTTGACGTCCAATTGTTCTGCTACGACTGGGCTAATGAAGACGGGCATACGCCATACAGTGTGCTACGAGGGAAATTTTGCCCGGGCAGCGGCGCTATACGGCCTACTCTTGTATCGAATTTCAACTGCTAAGGGGTCTTTTACCTGCACGCCAATGGGTGGGCTTTGAGTTTTCGTCGCAACCGAACGATTCAACAGCTGTCTTTGTTAGGCCCTCCGTCCTGCACCATTTACAGGGGGAAACCACGCCTGAAAATACCGATGAACATTCTCGGCCGACAGTGGCTTACTCGCATAGCCACCGTGGGTCCCATGGCGACAGGGAAATGGTTTAACGTCCTACTGTTCTGCTTCGACTAGACTAATGAAGACGGACATACGCCGTACAGTGTACTATGAAGGAAATTTTATCCCGACAGCGACGCTACGGCCTAAACTTATATCGAATTCCAACTGCGAAGAGATCTTTGACGTGCACTCCAATGTGTACACGAGACCTCAATTTTTTGTCCCATCGCAACTACTACCAGTAAGTGAGAGAGAGAGAGAGAGCGAGAGAGAGAGAGAGAGAGAGAGAGAGAGAAATGGGGTTTAACGTCCACTTGACACAAACTAGGTCATTTCGGGACTAACTTAAATTAGGGTTTAATTTTATTTCAATAATTCGCTTGCGCGTAGGGGTCTTTTGCAGTGGGAGGAAACCGGAGGACCTGGAGAAAACCCACGAGGTTGGACAAGATGTAAGTGAACCGGGGCGGTCTGATGGTTCTGAAAACAAATTTACAAAATTAGAAATTATTTTACAAAATTAGAAATTATTTTACAAAATCAGAAATTATTTTACAAAATCAGAAATTATTTTACAAAATTAGAAATTATTTTACAAAATTAGAAATTATTTTACAAAATTGAAAATAAAAAATCAAAATTAAAAATCAAAATTACAAAATTGAAAATTATTGTACAAAATTGAAAATTATTGTACAAAATTGAAAATTATTGTACAAAATTGAAAATTATTGTACAAAATTGAAAATTATTGTACAAAATCGAAAATTAAAAATAGAAATTCGAAATTACTTTTTTTCAAAATTAAAAATTGAAAATAAAAATAGGAAAAGAAATAAACAAAAATAGTTCGTATTTGAGCTTCCGTAGTATTGCTTTAAAATATACTTTGATTAAAACTCATACCTGGCTTGATTACTGGTTCTATCGGAGGAAAAATGGAAGGATCGCCTGGAAAACGAATCGGACGATCGTTATAGTCTAAAGTTTACTGTTTAACTTATAATTTACTACTAGAACACTAACCTTATTTACATTAAAAACAACTAAATATATTGTCGAATGAGCAATGTTTACAGTCTTATTTATTTACAGTCTTCTGGTTGACGACATACATGTAGTATTCAATATTAAAGTATAAATGGTGTCTAGGTCCAAAAACAAATAAGGCCAGCAAAAACAATTTACATTTACATCTCTGAGTTAAATAGATGCTTCACATAAACACTACATTGAGTTCAGCAATCAAACAATTAGTGAATGAAACGAAGATTAACTTGGTAATGGACTGACTATCTTACCTCCAGAACCAACGGGTGCTTGACAACGTTTACCACAAGGATGTTTACAACATAATTGCTCATCCGTGCAATTAGAATTAGTTTGACAAGAATCTGTTATTGGTACCAAACAAGACGTAGCTGCTAGTTCAGGAGGCACTGGACACAATTCTAGCAGAATTAAATATTGAAATTAAATATATTAATCACCATTCTTTTTGCAACTACTGTTGTCTGTGCTCCCTGGATATGAAACTATCTCAGGGAGACAATTATGTGTATTGTTCAAATACCGGAAAGGTGTCACGTGAACGTCTCGACAACACAATCCTGCAATAATTTTCATGTTTTTTGTTGGTTTTTTTTTTTTTTTTTTTTTTTTTGTTGATTATTCTTTTGCAATGTGACATATCGTCCTCTTTTTCAAATTCTGATTGTCTGGAGATCACTTAAGTTGAAATAAAAATATGGTCATGGGACCCCAGATTTACTTCCCAACAGAATCTTACTTTCCGTTGCAGTTTGGCAGACGTTACAAATGGCAAGTGGGGACGCGATCTTTTTGTCTCACAGTAAAACAGTTTTTGTCAAAATTCCAATTATCCATAATATTTTTAATCTTTGTAGGAAATCGGTTACACTTTTGATATGATATGTAGATTAAGCGTATCTATAACATACATGTCCCGGATGGACTGTGGGTCCACTCTAGGGGCTATAAATGGTGCTTTCTAGAGTATACCCCGATGTTTCTAGCGTATGCACAAAATTAACATTTGGCAATCTTACCAATTCATAAAAAACGACGTAAATTCCAGAACCCCTCATCTAAAAATCGGCCCAACACTTATTATCAACGTCTTTAGAGGCCCCGAACCTATCATATATACAAGTTCTTTTTCAGTCCATTCCTGTATATGTCCTCATTGGTAACTTTGAGCAATACTTGTCCGTAATTAGATGGGGCCCACTTGACGATGATAATAAATATAAGATAGTATTAGATTAACACCACAGAGTAGTTGAAATGTATATTGAACTTATAACTTACGTGCATTTGATAAAGGGGTTTTACATTCTTTACCACATCCTTCACTGCAACAAATTTTACCTGAAAAGAACATTATTTTGTTTGCAGAATCATACGAGAATGTCCTAAAGTTGCGGGATAACCCCATTATAAACAACATTTATCCGTTTACATTCGCGGCCGTTAAACCCCATTTCATTTCATTTCAGAAACAGCATTTACGTAGACAAAAGAAAAGAGGCATACAAATTACCATTTCTATTTCTAAATACAAAAAGATCCCCCCCCCACCCCGTACAACGTGCTTAATTTCCGTTGCTTCGTTTGAGCTGATGAGTAGAACGGCGCTAGCACACATCTTCAGTGAGTAGGTAGATCTGTTAACACGATCATGTCTCACACTGAAATGGTGCTTTAACTAGCCCCTTATTTTGTGTAAAGCATATCTTGGTTTCACCAAGGACAAAGAATTACCTAAGACAAACATACCGATATAACACAATATACAGTAACACCTCAAGCAACAAACGCTCATATCAAATCAAGTGAATGTAAATCTCTAACCATATTTAGGCAATCATAGCAAGTTTCACAAATCGCTGTCAGTGAGTGTGCATTACATGATATTAATCAATCTGGGGCCTGTTTCACGAAATTTTAACTAAGATAAAATCCAAATTTTAGTAGATACTTCAATTTTGATTGGCTAATTTTATCTTTTGTTAAAATTTCGTGAAACAGGGCCCTGACCGTTATTATTATCGATCGATTGCAAGTTTTCATATTAGTCATAGTGTGTTCTATAAAATAAAAAAGGTTTGTAATGAAACGGGTTTAATTTACTTACCAGTACCGCAATCTATATCTGTTGTACAACTATTTGGACCAAATACACAGATTCCTAATCGACCGCTCGGTGGTGGGCAAAACTTGTTGGTCTGACTTTGAGCCCTTACTATGAAACAGAATGATTGTATTAAGCAAGATTTAAAGAATGGTTGAAAATAACAGAAAATACATCCATGTCAACCCTAAAGTTAAATAGTACAAAACGACATGGGGTTCATCTTCGTGGTCATCTCTTAAACCATACAGGAGCCGTGGTGGTCAAGCGGTATGGCACTGACATCTCGACTAGAATTCAGGGGGAGTAGTGTGCTTTGTCGTTCGGATCAGAGGTCATCACGTGTACTTGTAAGATCCCCAGTCAGAATGCCCGGACAAAATTCCCCCTTTTTTGTATATTGCACACGTAACCATTTGTTAGTCTGAAAACGACCGAGGTATTGTGTTGATAATTAAAATCGACAATAACACAACATATGGCGATCTGAAATTCCACTACTTTTGTATGCACCGATTTCATGACGTCAGCCCTTCTCTCTTAGAACGTCAGGCTGCTATGAAAAGAATCGCTTCTATCAATGAACACCGATATCTAAAAAAAAAACTTTCAGTGTTTATGTTGAAAATAAAATTAAAAAAAGAAAATGTCAGTTAACATTCTGCTGCATTGACGCATCATCATATTTCACAATTCAACCGTAACTATATTTTGCCTAAAATGTTTGATTGCTTCTATCTGTAAATAAACCGTACTGAATTTCAATAGGTTTGTACTCTTAATGATATTATTATTATTAATCCATTCAGGTTTACAACGTTATGGAAGCAAGGGTCATAACAATATTTATAATCGTGGAAATGCGCCAATTTGGGCTTAGATCTATTCATAGAAGGTTTTTTTTTTAATTTATCTTCTCTGTTTACCAAGTAAATGTAAATGGGTTGACACGCAGAAGGCGAGGTGTGGCATAGCATTTCTAGGGTTCCTAGATTCGACATAATGATTAAAATAATAAAGCGTGGTCTGACAGAGATATAGAACAAAGAATAATGTTAAACCAAATTAATTATTCATGAAACCTTTTTGTACCTGCTACATCACCCGATAAGACTATGAAAGCGGACGTTAAACCTAACAAACATTGTGTGTGGTCAGCCATATTCGGAGTATAATATTTGAATTTGACAAGAATGCAGAGTTCAGCCATTTTTTGCGACGAATTCTACATAAATATGACAATATTCAAAATATATAAAAGAAACCTATAAATATAATATAGTTGCACAAAATACGGCCTGGCCTAATGCTAGGACAAAATTAACAAATTTAAACAAAAATACAATATAAAAAAATATAATTCTACTTGACCAACTGTATATCAGATTGATCACAAGCTAATTCTCTTTTTTAAAATTACACCTAGTTGTACAAAGTAACGCCTGATTCTATTGGGAAACAATTAACAATTTTTTAAATGGTATACATTATAAAACATAATACTACATTGTACTTGACTAATTGTATCTACTTCATCATTAAGTAATACATGTCTTTTTAAAAAGTACACCTAAATATTACCTACCGGCTAAAACCAGCAAAGTAAGTATTACGCACTTCATTGCCACAAGCATGAAGATTAAACCAATAAACTAAATGACATTTAGAACCGTCACTTATTTATATTAATGTTAAACCGGATCTTGGTTTCATTGGCAACCGCACTAAGATATCATTGGTTCAGACGTCACAATGCAACACGGGCCTAGAACTCTTAGCTAAATATAAACGGCAAACGTGTTTTTAGGGCAAGTTAAATGTTAAAGCTAGGAGAAACCAAAATCGTAAATAAATAACATTGCCGAAGAAATGGGGCGTAGCAAATTAATCAGTTTCAAAGTTAAATGTTTTGATGGCTAAGGTGTGACAATCAGACATGTTGCGCATATTGTAAAAACAAGTCATTAAATACGAAAATAGACAAAGACAAGTGACAGACATGTTTCACTTCGTTTTATGCAGTGGTCAAAGTAAATAATGAACATGTCTTGAGGTTGAGGTATATTCTAAAATCGACATTTATCAATTTGACAGTGTGACAGACTAGCTGTTCAAATAATATTTATTAATAAAAATAAATATGTACAGATGTTATGATCTGTCAATAAAAATCGACGTATTAAAAATGAAACCGATATTTTTTACTTTCTTAATAAACAGTCTGGTTAAAGCGTGTGCGTTGGATCAGAAGGTCCGTCATTGAGTCAAGTGACGTGTTTGTGATTCCCCACTTGTACTTGACAAGGAATAGGGTCGCCTGGGTGTTCTCCGGGTCCTCCGGTCTCTCTCCACTGCGAAAGACTCCTACGCGCAAGCGAATTAATGAAATAAAATTGAACCATATGTTAGTCCCGAAATTACCTAGTTTGTATCGAGTGGACGTTAACCCTCCCTCCCTCTCTCTCTCTCTCTCTCTCTCTCTCTCTCTCTCTCTCTCTGTGTGTTTATTTTGAATTACATATGGGGCTCCATCATCGTTTTATAGCTCAGGGCCTCCGAGGAACTCAATCCGACTCTGATCCGATCCTATAACATTAATCTTGACAAATGGGAGTGCTTTAAATTGAATGGAAAAATAGCCCAACTGGGGTCCGCCAAGGCTACGGTCTTTCTCCAACACTGTTTTCCATATCCAATTATTGACGAAACCTACGAACTAATTTCGCGAAAGTTATTATCAATATATATATATATATAGTATAACACCGATGGGTAGGAGAATAAAGCCGATTTTAAGATTAGTGTCTAAATACCTCGTGTTCTACTGGGAACGACTTGAACACAGCTCCGACCACAAGCATGAGCACAACATTTAGATAATCGAGGACAATCAGCATCAGATAAACAGTGATCTCTTCTAGGTAGATTACAATAAACAGTACTGGGCATAGGACAGGTACCTTAACCATAGAAGAAAAAGTAACAATCTGTGAGAAATTAAATCAGCTGCTGCCAGGTAGGATACGCCCACATTTTGCCATTTTGTTGGGCAGTTTCATTTCATTTTTCCCAAAATTCGAATTCAACCTTCAGTATGGTGGAATGGTGATATATTTAAACGGTTTTTAAAATCAGAAAAAAAATTGTGACCTCTAGAGAATCCGCAAGCTAAAAATGTGATTTTTCAAACAATCAGGGGTCATAATCCAGGACGTTACGTTCGGATATGCGCGATTATCAAAAGGAATCAAGATCTTAGTGCTTAATGGTGATATATTCACACTTTTTTTTAAATCGGATAAAAATTGTGACCTCTAAAGGGACCACAAGCTAAAAACGTGATATTTGCGTATGAGGGGTGGCCATTTTATCTGGCAGTTTTGACCCGTTTTTCACGAAATTAGAACTCAACCAACATTACGGTGTAACGGTGATATATTCAAACGTTTTTTTTTTTTAAATCGGATAATAATTATTGTGACCTCTAGAGGTACCACAAGCTAAAAACGCAATTTTTCGTACAATCAGGGGCCATAATTCAGGAAGTTCGAATATCGAAAGGAACCAATATCTTTTTGTTATAAACATGTATTTCAAGTTCCATCAAAATCGGATCAACATTGTGACCTCTAGAGGGTCCACAACCTTGATATACAATTGTTTACACTATTTGCGTACGAGGGGCAGCCATTTTGTCCGGCAGTTTTGGCCCGATTTTCACGAAACCAATATTACGGTGTAACGGGGATATATTTAAACGTTTTTTTTAAATCGGAATAAAATTGTGTCATCCATAGGGTCCACAAGCTAAAAATCTTGATTTTTCGTACAATCAGGGGCCATAATTCAGGAAGTTGCGGTCCGCTATGCGCGAATATCGAAATTAACCAAGATCTTTGGGTTATAAACTTACATTTCAAATTTCAACAAAATCAGACCTCTATAGGGTCCACAAGCTAAAAACGTGAATTTTCGTACAATCAAGGGGCCATAATCCACGAAGTTACGGTCCGATACATGCCAATATCGCAAGGAACTGAGATCTGAGGGTGATAAACCTATATTTCAAGGTTCGTTGAAATCGGATAAAAATTGTGACGCGGACGGACGGGAGGACAGGGGCGACGACAATATACGTCCACATAAAGATGTGGGCGTATAAAAATATATAAAAAGATCTCAAATATTGAAGATTACATGATGCAACACGACTGGGCGTAGGGAAAAGAACCTTAAATATATAAGAACACATAACAATCCACAGTTAATTATTAGAAAATATATTAAACGATTTTAAATGTTGAAAATCGAGTTGTCACATGATGCAACGTGACATTCCATACACATTGATATCGGGTTTAAAGTCTTGCCAATGAAATAATTAATGGTGAATTCGTATTTCTGTGGTCATGTGACCAATGCTAGGGAGTATAACCTGACAGTTGATGCGCCATGTGAACAGGTGGGGACCGGGTTTGATATATTTCGAACCATTTTCGGTGAACATCTCGATTCAAATCCAAGACATTCTAGTCTACAGTCCAATAGCATACTGTCTGACAGTAGACAAATGAATAATGGCGATCTTTAAGTTGGCTAAATGGTTATATGATTTTATTCTTGTCAGTGCATGGACAATACACAGATGGGCGATGGAAATACCTGATTTTAGCAGTAAAGTTCGACTATTGATGTTGGTACACGTTCTTCCACAGGGATGAAAACAGCACTTTAGTGTTCCAGTACAATCAGTGTCCGAGTCACATTTATCACTGACAGCGTTTGGACAACTAATACTATCTCTTCGTAGTGGGATAGGACATAAACCTTTGGAAGATATACATTAGAAGTGATTTCGTATCAGCCATTTCATCTTGTAAAGAAAAGGTCACCAAAAAACGACAACTTAGCAATTTTCCATGATCAATACCGAACTGGTCTTCGTAAAATTATTGTTGAAAATAATTAGTAATTGTTGCCTCTCCCAGAAGCATTTTTATTACAAATCACCGCGTTAGTTGATGGTTGATATATGAGCCTAATACATATATGAGGAAGTGAATTGGTTAAATCACACCAGCAATTATCATTATTCATGACAATATGTGTTAGCTTTATCGATTGCCCCAAAGGCGATGACAAGTGTTATACAAACGGGAAACTTATATTTCCTAAATACTATGTATTAGTGCTACTCTAATCTCTATCTACATTATACCTTGTTTAAGTAGTCTACTTTGAGGGTTAGAGGTCATGCATCGACTTCCACATGGGTGAAAGCAGCATTTTCTATTGTCATCACAATCTGTATCCATATTACATTCATGTTTCATAGGTGGACACATAACCAGGGCAGGTGATGGGACAACTGGACAAAATCCTGAACACGATAAAACATAGTGCTATTGATGACTAAATATTATTCTTCGAATTAACACTATATAGCACTAATATTTAAACACGAGTTATATTTTCAGACTTAGCAATTAGAATTGTTGTATTAATCCATTATCCAGTATAGCAATAAACGGTTGAAAAATTAAAAAAAAGTTTTTACATATTCGGGTTTACAATTATATTGGAGGGATCGGTTACCTGATCGAGCAGCAGTCCTCACAGCTAAATCTGGTTTACATTGTCTTCCACACCCTTCTAGACAACACAGATATCCTGTAAATATATTTGTTCACAATATCATCATCCAACTTTCTCGTTCAGAGATACAAAGAGAGCGATAGATAATCCGCGAACAAATGTATCGGACGGGTCATAAAATTAATAAATGGGAGTAATAGCATCCCCAATACGAGAGTCCCAATACGATATTAGTACATCTTCATTACATATTTGTTATTCAGACAATTCTTTATAGCTCTGGTTCATAAAACGAAACCTTGTATATATGGAAACTTTTAGGTCCAGGTTTAATTCCGATATCATCTTTCTAACCTTAAAACATAATAACACTTTTAAAAATTTATGAAGGCAATTTTGGAAAAAAAGTAAATTCCCAAACTGCGACCTGATCACGTTGTCTTCGATTAGGTCTTCGTTTCTTTTTAACTAGTCATTAAATACATTAACAGGCCCGAATTATCTCAGAAAGTGTCATCTCTGACATATGATTATGAACAGAAACACTGTACATTATATATATTATGTTGTTTGTATTTATATATATATATATATATATATATATACCTGGTCGACATTGTGAGTTAGTCACACATCCGGTCTGTTCGGGACGGACAGGACAAAGTCCAACACGGCGACTTGGTTGAGGACATACTTCTAAGGATACTTGAAAAAAAAATAGATTACTTTTGGTATTGGTACTGATATTTGACAGGATTAAATAAAAGTAAATGTCTCATTTCATTGGGATATTTTTGATATACGGTGACTTGGCTTAACTCGGTTCATATTTATCGGTAACGTTTGTTTCCTGTTTTTACAAGGAATCTTTTACATAACGTACGATAATTCATTTAACACTATTTAAAAGAGTGTCTTTTAGCAATCAAATTATGTGTCGTTATATCTGTTGCATACTGTATTGCATATTAGGCGTGCCTACTGTTTTACTTGCAAAAATGTCATGGCTAAGACAGCTTTTTTGTAACAGTGTACTAAATGATACGGGATATCCAGTCAACCAGAACACATCGTACATATACTGAATAAAGTTACCGGCAATTATTTAAAAACAAATTAAGTGTTTACGAAAACCAATAGAAAGATTGACATAATTCCACGTGGATTACCGAATGCAAATTTAATGAAATTTAAATCTTTCTAAGGAATCTTTTGTACCTAAATCTTGAAGTAAACTGCAACCGGGTATTTATGAGATCCAGTAATTCGGAACAAATTAACGTTTTAAAAGATGATAAAGACTTACTTTGTAAACTCTGAGCTACCGCTAATACCCCGATAAAACCTAACCACATACTGACACTCACCAAATTATCTCAATAACGGCTGTCTCGTTTAACCATGGTGGACATCTCAAATACCACTCTATTGGCGTTTCCACCTTAGTAAATGTCCCGCCCTTTCAACTGGGATCTACGTGAATAGTTTCGTAACCGTGTTAACTAAATTGACTTTTTTCAATTTAAATTATTTCTTTATTTTAGCTTTAAAATATCACAATGGCTAGAATTAGGCAGGATCGACTCGGGTTTAACTAAAATGAAAACCATTTGTAGTTTTTTTCATTCTTGGTGTTAATGAGAAGTTAAGCCTTGAGTAAATTTTGTGATCTCCCCGACATGTTCCATGAAAGAACATATTCGTTATTTAATTTCTGTTTTAGACGTGTTTAAACGGAATTTGATGTATTCGTTCTTTAATCAACTATTTGGTGTCATTACATATTTCCATCAGGTATAGTAACAGATTTCAGTCCAATTTTAAACCTTGTTTGTATTTGACACGGTGGTGTTGTTGAATAATTAGAATCGAGGAAACAAAATCATCCTGTTGTAACCTTGTGTTAGAATACTGATTAGTTATGAATAATTGTGATGTGCTGCATAAGGTTGTCTCGATTAAGTCTGGTAATTGTGTGCTTTTGCAAATCTGTGGGTCCGTTCATTAAACTGACAACGCACAACATGGTCAAAAACAATTTACATAATATTATGATGATCTGTATTATGGACTATATATATATACTGAGAAAAGGCATCACTGATTTGGAAGAACGTGCTGTCCAGAAATAATGTAGCTGAAATGGGATCTTTTGAATTTATAAGCTGGGCATTTACCGACATCAGGAAATAAACAACTCGCGGAGGCCATTAACAACTTTGATTTACAGTGAACTTTCGCAAAAGAGGTAAAAATCGAAGAAAATTCAGTAACATGTGTGTCAACTTCTAGTAGTCACCCAAACACGCCACTTCTTCCAGTGGATCTTGAACTCACCCCTTTTTAATTAACACAATGACGCGTTCTCGGTGTTCAGGTGCCATCCTTGTCGTATCATTGCGTCTTCCACAGAACTGTCGGAGTTGTACTTATGGAAGAGTATAGGGGTCAGTTTTATGCGCCATATATGTACCATAACATCGTGATTTTCAACACTCCCATTCTCTTTCCGCGATCGTGAAAACATCATTCTCGTGTGCTGATTTGATTTTGTTACATTCAGAATTACAAGACTAACACATTGTCTATACATAGATCTGTATTTGGGGGTTAGGGGGTGACTTGAGGAAACTATAGAAGCGTATAGTATGGGTCAATAGCGTGACAGATATCGCGATGTCAATAATGCAATATATCTACATTGATCTATGTTGTATGCTGCCATTTCATTATAAATTTGCACGATTGCGTTTTTATATTGCTATTCTGAAATTTTGTCAACATATTCCATTTATCCGATCGCCATGAGTTATGTCGACATATATTGCAGCGAAATGGATTATGTTGACAATCACTCAGAATAGCAATATCTTAACGCAAGCGTGTGCATTTCAAACAAAATGACGACACACTACATGGTGCGTTCAGTGGCGGATTAAGCTCCACCAAGGCCTGAGGCGGCAGTTGCTGGAGGGCCTATTTAGTTTTTAAAGTTAGAGCCAAGGTAGTTCCTGACATTAAAAACGTAATGTAACTTTATATGCCCATAAATGACGTCACGTGGATACAATATATAGGGCAAGACATAACCGAAAACTTACAAGAATTTAACGTACATTGTAGGCCTACGTTTAAAAAATAAGATCAGATCTCCAAACAATAGGGCCTATTTAAAATGGCGTGGGCCTAATTAATTTCGGGTCAGGGCCTATGTTGATTCCCGTTGGGCCTAAACCCCACCCCCCTAACATTCATTGTCTATGCGTTTTTAATCGTATCAGACAAGTCTAAAAAAAATTTTTTTTACAAAATCTTTGGGCCTGAGGCTGCAGCCTCATCCGCCTCACTGATAATCCGCTACTGGGTGCGTTGATTCAATTAACTCAGCAAAATTGCTTTTTTAGGGCTAAAATGATCACAATGCGTTGACATATTACCTTATTGATATCATGACATCTTTTGCGCTATTGACCCCTATACGCTTCCATGGTATGTTAATGTTGTATGCCGTCATTTCGTTTTACGTGCACACGTTTGCGCTAAGATAAAGCTTTATCAATATTTTCCATTTCGCTGCAGTATATAATATATCGACATATTTTACGAACATCGTATAGTGTTAAATCGACAACCCGTCAGAATAGCAATATCTCTAAGGGCGTACAAGGCTCTATTCTTTGGATCCTCAAAATAGACGAAATGGGTCTAAAAGCACTTATTAATGTAATACGAATGAATATAAAGTGATTTATATTGTAATTTTTAACCTATTACGTTAAGTGAAATACCTGAACAGTCCAAATTGAACGACAGTCGTTTGAGCCTGTTTAGTCTATGCTACAAGGATCTTTTTGTTATTATTTTTAATTACCCACACGTTGTCTTCCGGGGTATGTTTTCCTTTTTTCATTTCAAACGGAGCTAAAACCCATTATATCCGTAGAATACATGACTCGCGTACCGATTATAAAATGTTCATTGTGTCTTAAATATTGAATATTACGACCCTATATTTTCATTGAAAGATAACAACATCAATATTGATTGAAATGGATCAATGTTGAATTATAATTCGTGTTTTTAATTTCGACTATTTCAACGCAAACGTACACAGTTAAAACGAAATGACGACATATAACATGGCCCTTTTGACTCAGTTAACTCGGCAAAAATTGTCTTTTCAGGGGAAAATCGTCTCAACGATCACAATCTGTTGATATATTACCAATTAATACATATCGCGGTATCTACCACTCTATTGGCCCTTATACTTCCATATAAAACCCCAGAAATTTGGTTAAATTTGTGAAATATATATTTACTGTATAGTAAGTTCGGCAATATAACTGATGATCATATCACAAGCCCACAGTGCAGTGATTGGTCAGAATTCAAGAAGACGTCTAATAAATTTTGTAAAGTATAAATTGTATTTGTATACACCTTACTTAATATTGGGTGGAATTAGGTATTTTTTAATGTTTCTCTCTGGGTATCGTGGCTGAATAGTAATTAGTGTCTACTTACCATCTTATGTAACGTCAATACAACAGTGTGAACTATTAGTTTAAGTTTGTTTTCACACACCTGTAAAAAAACCAAATGACCTTCGGGTTTGTTTGATATGGTTCAAGCTGAACTTCAACCTTGATTGCAAACATCTGGGGTTTTTAAGGTTATCGTAAATACATATGTATATCTATATACTAACGGAGATCTAGTTTACATTATTTTAAGGTAAGAGCAAGCACAAAGAATATTGTTGGGTCATTAATGTAAAATTTTCATAAAGAAATCCATAACGTGAATATGGCGTTTTGATCTTCAGTGGCTTACAAAATGACTGTACTTTACCGACTTCTTCGTGTAATCGAATTTATTTATTTGTGATAGTAAATACACATTCTCTATTCAATTACCAAACAAATAAATAAATAAATGAATAAAATTTGTCATTTACAACGAATCGGGGGGGGGGGGGGGTAGCTGGGCTAGTGGTTGAATCATTAGGTCTGTCAATGAGTCAAGTGGCGTGGTTTCGATTCCCCGCTTGTACATGACAAGGAGTAGAGTCGCCTGTCCAACCTTGTCGAGTTTTCTTCTGGTCCTCGGTTTCCTCCCAGTGCTAAAGACCCCTACGCCCAAGCGAATTATCGAAATAAAATTGAACCATATGGCCTATGTTAGTCTCGAAATGGCCTAGTTTGTGTCGAGTGGGCGTTAAACATTATAAATCTGAAAATTTGTTAAGTTGTAACGGTTTTATCAATTGGAATAGGTACAGACGTCGTTGTTCGCGTAAATTTGATTGTTGGTTCGCACACCCACTCATATATCAATAGTATGTGACACTACAATAGACCTAATATTCTCATAAAATATATACGTTCGGCAAACCGTTAACTCGGTTATTGACAAAGGGTGTTCCAAATACACGATATCTCCTGACCTACAAATATATATAAATGTATTTAGTAGTAGCTATTTTAGGTTGTAAATAATTGTGAATATATTATAAGATCAACTTATGATTATAACTAACAATTTCTTTGGGGGCAACGGTAAACAAAATGTTTGGATGATTATTGAATTACAGAAAAGAAACCGGTTTATGCTGGATTGCTCCGCAATTGACGACTCACCGCTTACTATATTGACTGTGGTGTAATCTTATATTATATCCCGCTCGTTTCCCAATTAGTTATTGTGTTTTACATTACTTGCACAGTTTTGTTCACGGCAATTGTAGAAACAAAAAATAACCCAAAACAACATAAAGCATTATTCTAATTCTGAATATATAGTAGACTGCATGTCTATTTGACATATTCACAAGATTTGTTAAGAGAGGGAGTGGGGGGGGATGAGAGAGAGAGAGAGAGAGAGAGAGAGAGAGGGGGGGGTTAACGTCCACTCGACACAAGCTAGGTCATTTCGGGACTAACATATGGATTAATTTTATTTCAATAATTCGCTTGCGCGTAGGGGTCTTTAGCAGTGGAAGGAAACCGAAGGACCCAGAGAAAACCCACAAGGTTGGAAAGGCGACCCTACTCCTTGTCACATACAACCGGGGATTCGAAACCACGCCAGTTGACTCAATGACAGACCTTATGATACAGCACGCACGTGCTAACAATTCGGCCATCCAACCCCCCCGGGGGGGGGGGGGCATTTCGGGACTATAGTAATATGATTGCGCATAGGAGTCATTAGCATTAGCAGTGAGATGAAACCGGAAAACCCCACAAGGTTTGATCCAAGCTTGCATGGATCAAAATCACGTCAGTTGCCTCATTGACAGAATTTCTGATCTACATGTCCAAAAACGTCAGTTGGTGCTTATTTCAAATGCGCCATTAGATCGTCTCGACATA